CAAAACAGAAAGCACTGTATTTTATTACAAGTAGTAGCAACTCTTTGACATTTGACATTTACAAAAAAATATTTCCACAAGGTTTCTTTGAGCCCTTTTGAAAGACAATTTTGTTCTAATAGAAAGCATAATCTGGGCCATCTGGAATTTAAAATTCCAGAGTCTTATGTCTACCATTACAGTTTCAGTGAGTACATTGCATTTAATAATATATCGTCTGTGCCTACAGATTAGTATTCTGAAAAATAAATCAAATTGAAGAAAATAAGTTAATTTGTTGACATGGAGAATTTTAGACTCATCACTGTAGTGAAATAGTTGGGCCCACACTTCCCAGAGGCATTTTACCCTTGTCTTTGAGATTTACTTCATTTAATTCATCAGCATTTCTGACCTTTTCAATTAGGATTTCTCATGTTCTTTTTTCCTTCTAATGTTGGGAAATTTTCTGGTGCTTGGGGGTTCCGGACAGCCAAGGATATTTTCAGACAGAAACAGCTCAGATGCAGCTGAATTTAAATCCGTGCATAATGCTAGTTCCAACATCTGAGACCAAGTCAGGAATTCAGAAGTGTGGTGCACACTAGGCACATGACAATAGCAGGAAAAAGTCACCTCCTAAGAGTCCTTTCTGTGGAGTAACACCAGTGCTGTACTCCATAGTTAGACCAAGTGATGCACTGGGGGAAACAATTGCATACTGCCTTTTCCTGTGACTTCCCTTTTTTCTAGTCACAGCTTTATTATTATTTACTTGTGTATCCTAGGTTTCACCCAGTTAAAGTATACCATTCAATGGATTTAGTATATGCACAAGTTGTGTAACTGTCACCACAATTTTAGAACATTTTTATCATCCCCAAAAGAAAACCTGTACCTTTTAGTTGTCACTCGCCAATCTCCCTGAGACCAAGGCAGCTACTAATCTATTTTCTGTCTCTATAGATGTGCCCTGGGGTTCCATTTTTGACACCTGCAAAAATATCTACCATTTTTATCTGATAGCTTTGTACTATTTTGCTTTAAAAAATAAGCAGAGAGAATAGTATCATAATATCCACATTTATTAATAGGCACTATGCTAAGTGTTTTACATGTATTATAACAACGCTACTTCTTATATCTGTTAAAAGAAGTGTTTAGCAGTGTCTGGCATATGATAAGCTCTATTATTTCCTGAGCTGAGTATTGTGCTCTGCATTCAGAATGTTGTCCCCTCTAGAAATTGAAGAGGAGACAGTTCAGCACAACGGTTAGGAATATGGGCATTGGAATTAGGCTGGCTAGGTTTGAATTCTTGCTTTGCCAGTTGGTAGCTATGTAAACTTTGCCAAGTTGCTCAATGTTTCTGTATCCCAGTTTTTTCATATATAGAATAGGGACATTAGTACCTTCATATAAGTTTGTTGTGGGGATTAAATGACATAATAAAAATAAAGTTACATATCAATGCCTGTCCCATAGTATGTGTTCTATAAAGAATAGTTTATACATAAGTATAATGTAGCATGTGAGTGTTTGATCATTAAATCAGTCAAGAGTTTGTGAGCATGGAAAAATGATTTGAATTGTTTATAGAGACGGGTGAGGCTGTAAGCCTGTGCCATTGTTCTAATCCTTGAGGTTGGGTAGGATTTCCAGGCCAAAAAAAAATTCCAAACAGCAGGAAAAACTAGTTGAACAAAATAGTTTAGTGTGGCTAGATCTCAGTGTTCTGGGAAGAGAATGGGAGGAACATATATTCTATTTCCTTAAGTAGAAATAGAAAAAGGTACAGTCCTCACATTTAGAAATCAATTTTGTTTTCAGAAGAGATATCTTGGTTTGGACATTTGACTTCTCTCTTAAAACACGAGGAATTGCTTACATGTTTGAGTCTCCTACCTGATCACAACACATTAAGATCTGGGACCATGATTTTGTCATTTGTATCTCCACAACAGTGCCTAGCCCAAGTGTTGGGAATGTAGCAATTGTTCACTAAATATTTGCTGGGGGAGTGAGGGGACCAATAAATCATAGTATAGTCATTTTGAAGACTGCATATGTAACAATTCTGCAGCAAAAGAGGATTAGAAGATAGTTCTGATCATACTATACATATCTCAGACCCCACATTTCAGTGGATCTTTAGAAAGAAAAGCAGTGGATTAGAGATTCCCTGGTAAGGAAAGTTATCGCCTGGGTAATCTGATGTGTTGGAGCCACTAGTAGTTGATGCTCAATCAAAAATGAAAATCTCTTCATTGGGAGGTGATCCTTGGAAGCACTGGTAGGGGAATAGAGAAGTGAGACAGAGAAGGGAAGGGACCCAAAAATGTTGTGATTATGAGGCTACCACTGTGTGAAACTTTGCCTCAATCCCACTGGGAACCACTGAGGGAGTGCACAGAACAAGCCTCAAATTTGTCCCACCTGAGGAGTGAGGAAGCTGGCATGTATATCAGATAATTTATGTCAGTTTTGGATGAAGCTTCTCTAGGAGGTGTTTAACTCTGTAGCACTCTGGCCTGTCCAGTATGCAAAACACACATGCCCCATGCATCCAGAGAAAGCTTTTAGGCAGAGTTGTAGGGGATTGTAATAGGAGGCCATAAGTCAAGGGGATACAGGTATTTCCTCTACTATTGTCTGCAATAGTCCACACTTCACATACTCAGGTTAACTTCTACTGCATGTTAAGTCCTATCTGTACTTTCACTGATTTGTCAAGCAAGCCAATGGTCACAATTCTAAGAAGGAAGGTTGGTGGGACAAGCTACATTTTCCACCATTGTAGTTAATCTTGAGATCATAATTGACATCATAATTGATATTTATCATTTCCCTCCTCTAACGCTTCCATTTCCTTGACCAACTGTTTCTAGTCTAGGATCATTGTGTGGCACAATCACTCAGACATGTATCCCTAGAAGTCGCAGTCCCTGGCTACTTGACCTTGTCAAGGTATTTTTGCTGCAACTGCCTTCTTTCAGTTATCACCAGGCATGGAAGCATTAAGAGGCATCCCAGTGAATCCCATGAGTTCCAGGTACACTTCTCCCTGCTCCAATATTTAGCAGCAACACTATTTCCCCTTGATCATTAGGATGAATTAACCCTGCCTGTATACTAGCTACCTCTCTAACTGCTAATCTATAGGCATGAGGAGCCCAAAACAATCAGCAGCTGAAGCTGTAGCCTTAGTGGAACCCTTACTGTGTCTTCTGATAGGAGTTTCAAGACCTCTATGCCGAACCTGAAGTTGTGGGAAGGGGAAGCTCATTTTCTTAAGTGGTAGTGAGAGGCTCCACTCCTACTTCTATCTTTTGGTCCCAGCTGTCCAGGACATAACACCAAATATACTAATATCATTTAATAGTCTATTACATCTTGAAACTTAGTCACATGGGGGTCATTCCTAGAAAACACAGCAACATCTCTATAATATCAAACCTGGTCTACAGAGAACAGCCACCGATGAGCTTCTCACTGATGCTGGTATCTCTCTTTTTGGAGCACTTCTTACTACTTTACTGAAGGGAGTGTCCTCTAGGTTCTTCTGAGGAACATAAACAGCTGGTAGATTCTCTTGCCTTTCAAAACAAATACATTCTAACATTCCCACTTCTATGAGATCTCATATCTCTCTCCAGTACTTTGCCAAGGTAGTTCTGGCATGCCTGCCTCATTTATTTTAGGACAATATCCTATCCATGCTTAAAGGAGCCAAGCCATTCCAACAGCATATTAGGATTAACTCCAGATGGACTTGTCAGAATGTTAAAAATTAACTCATGAAAGAGTGCCCTCATATAAATAGACTAATCTACTATCTTAAGTGTTGGCTTATCTGGGTCTGTATTTCTTTTTTCCTTCGCAGTTTTTATGGCTGTTAACTAACTTCACAATCTTGCGTCTTTCAAACACAGGAGTCATAGCATTTCCTTCCATCTATATTCTATCCACCTGAAGGCAGTCGTTGCAATTATGGTGCCACAGCTTGCCAGAGATCAGCTCTACTGCATTACCCACCAGCAAGGGTCCTTGTTATCATGTGGATGGTGAATGACTCAATTCAGGAAGCTCATCCTAAGGATCTGCTTCCTAGGACCACCTCTGTCGCAATTAACTTATGCTGGGTTTCTCCATAAGACCCTGAGACAAGGATTGGAATGAAAGTTGTTTATTTGGTGAGTAAACCCAGGAAGCACCAGTATAGGAGTGGGGAGGAAAGGGAAGGAAGCGCATGAAGCCAATAAAGAGTGAATAAAATGGAAAGGTTACCCTTGTGGGAACCAGGACTTAATCCCACTAGGGATCTCTGAGAGGCTGCACTGAACATGCCCTTGGAATTGTCCTTCCTGAGGAACCTTGGGTATTTATCCCCTGATCCCTGCTATCAGTGGTGGAGAGCCACTCCGAGAGACATTAGCTACCTGGCATGTCTGGCCTGCCTGCCTCATGGCCAGCTGCTCCAGAGGCCAGAGAATGCCCTCAGGGAAAGGGTCACAAACACCCACAATAGGAAGCCCTGTGGTCGGGGCCATGGAAACAATGAATATCAAGAGAACATACCAAAAACCATCTGTTACAAAAGATAAGACTTTTGTGTGTATGATATGAATATCAGTGAAAAATAATGATGTTAAAAAAAATAGTAGCTATCTGTACATATCAGCACCACAGCCACTGTGTAAATCAAGTCAACACTATGTATGTTTTGGTTGTTTCTTTTTATGTTAATTGGTCTGGCACCTTTCTCGATCAGAATATATGAAGACATATTCCTCTGATTAACCAAAAAATGTATATACATTGTTGAGTCTCTGGCCTAATTGTCAACATGAACAGTAGATGTAGATGAAATAGATTCATCCCAGTTTTAATAGTGTCCAGTGGTTCCAGTATGTGTACATTTCTCATATCCTTTCTGCAATAAAATTTTAGAAATGGATCTTGAGAATCATGGTTACACTGTCAAACAAGTTCACAATAGTAAGAAATTTACAGCAATTTCATAAATAGGGAAACATCTTTTAATCTTTTATTGTTCACTTGAGAAAATATATATAATATATATTACATGTACAGAAGAGTCCCACAGATTGAGTAAGAGAAAGCTAACAGAAAGGCACAGACAGGGGACGGGTCTTTTCATACAGTTTTCGGTTAAACCAACATCCAGGGCATGGCAAGTGACAATGAAGGCAACACAAGCATAAGAAGCTTACGTACATGACTCCAAAGACCTAAATCAGAGCCAACTCTTAGGTCTCCTGAGAATGGAGGTCATCTCTGGAGAAACTATGACATCTACTTAATAGGCCTGTCAGACCATCAGACAATGTATTGAAGACTGGACAAAGACACCAGGGCAAGGAGAAAGCCAATGCTTAACTTGAGAGCTAGGTTGCTTTTCTCCCCCTTTAAGACCTGACTCCTGTGCTGATTTAAAGAAACAAATTACAGGGCTGACTCTGGCCCTGCAGAATTTTGATCAGCTACACAACAGGATTTTGCAACAGACTCAATATTTTAAAAGCTTGTAAATACTGTGCTGGTGGGGAAAACAAAACAAAACAAAAAAATGCTTTTTTTCTCTCTTACAGAAAAGATACAGGCATAGGTCTTTGGCTTGCCACATGTTTCTCTATCCTGACATTTACCCAAAATGGTAAAAATTGAGGCACAATTCGTGGATGATGCAATAATTCCTATCATATACCAGCAAAGGAGCCTTCTAGGATTTGGCACAGCTGGAGCAGCTGACAACCTTGGACGATGTGAGATGGGGCTTCACGATATCTGGCTCAACAGACTCTATTAGGTCGCACTCATTTGCAAGTATGTGTTTCACCAGGCATCTGGAGGCTTCGTCGATGTTTATGTTTTCCTAAGGGGAAAAAATATAAAACAGCTTTTCTTATTCAATACTCTAAAATAATGCTGGAGCAGAGACCTGTATGTCACAAAGGGCAGTATTTTTGTCAGTTCACTCAAATATCCCTTCTTATACACCGTCCATGCATCCTCTTCCTATTCCTTTCCCTCTCATTTATTCCTTCGAAGAACTCTACTTTCTAGTCCCTTGAAAAAGTAAAAATATTTATTTCATTTTGTCATATAGGAGAAACAGTGTTTGATGTCATCACTTAATAGGGTAAATTTAAACTAGAGAGCAATTTTCTTATCCTCACATATTCTTATACTATAGCATAATATTGTTGAAGAAACGTAAGTCTTCAGTCTTAGACTTATAAAAATTACCCTCTCCCACAGAATACTTTTGTAACCTTGATATGTAATAGGAATAATAATACACCTTTTGTGGGATTCAGTGGTTTCACAAATAGTTTCACAAATAGTGGTTTCACTAATAGTTCTGACTCTCTATCCTCCAGTCAAATGCAGGGGGAGTGTGTCTTTCTGGACTCTTTGCAGTTAGGCATGGACATATGACTTTTGTCGGCCAATGAAATGTCAGGGAAGTGATGTATGTCACTCTCATGTAGAAGCAATAAGAGCCAGAGCTCAATTCCTTATGTTTTTTCTCTTTGTTTCTGCAATTACAGAAGCACAGAGATGGAAATTCTTTTGGAATAGGTCTATGAATGAGAATCAGGTAGAGACAAATTGTCCCAATCAGCCTGTGATGATATGTGTAGCATGAGTGAGAATTTTGACCTTGTTGTTTTAAGCCACTGAGATTTAGGGTTATTTATTACTGTCATATTACCTAGACAATCTAGGTGGATATAACTCTTTAAATAAAAAAGTAAAATCAGAAAAATGAGTCAAATGTTAACAATGAAACAAACTTTAAGTTGGAGAAAATTGGGAGCAAACATTTGAATCTAGAATATTTATTTGATTACTAGGTTAAATTGCCCTTTTTTTCTGTTTTCAGAAAACTGAGAAAAATAGAATACTACCAATGTACTAAAATAAAAATACCTTTGCTCAGGTAAGAAGTGATAAAGTTGAAGAACTCCAGTAAAGTTAAATTTGATTGTTTTTAATCAAAATTTGTAGAACTTCTCTGATGTACTTCCTTATATTTAATGTAAAGAGACAAGGACTTGTCAAATTGTTTTACTACGGGACTTTGTTGTCCAATCTGAGACGGAAATACTTATCCCTAATTTTTGTAAGTATGTCAAAGTTGTGGATATATTTTGAGATCATTGCATGAAATCAAATTATGCGGAAAATTTAAGAGGTAGTGATAGCTTCAAAAAGGCATCCATGGCTGATGACATTAGCTGTATTCATTGATTAGCATGCACCCATCCTTCAAGCCTGACCCTGAGTTCACCGGCTATGAAAGCTTAAGGTAACTTTGGAGTTCTAGACAATAGCCTGATTCTTTATCTCCCCTCTATGCAGTCTTAATGAAAATGCTTGTGAGGGTTTCTAAATCCAAACACCAAGTAAAGGTCTGGTCGCTTTTTTGCTTGTTTGTTATGTTATTGTTGTTAATGGCTTTTATACTAGACCAGTATTCATGTCTTTACGCCTCCCTTTCCTCAACTGTAAAATGGTCTTGATTATAACACTTACCTAATAAAAACTTGCTTCTCTTGACCGAAAGTAGTGGACATTGGTACTTTCATAAGGTGAACTTTCTAGGGACTTCATATACATAATCTTTAAAACCCTGTACAATAAAGATTAGTTTTTCGTTCTTATGGATTTTGTTGTTATTGTTGGGGTAAGGGTTGGGGTGACATTTCTTCCTTCGGCTCAAGTATCTGCCTTACTCCACAGAAGTCAGTCCATAGACAGCAGCAATCCTTTTGTCCTGTGCTTTGTTGGGCAGGCTAGTGTGCCTTAAAGTCATTGCTCATACTTGGCATGCCTTCTGCCACTCTTCTTCTTCCTAGCATCATGCCCATTTGAACTACTTGTTCCCAGGCAATCATCTGATCTAGGCAAGGCCTGGCTCTTTGGGAGAGAAACCGCGATCAATACTTTGCTCTTGAGTCCACCCACCTGCTTATATGACTGAATAGAAGCCTATTCCATGGTCCTCTACTGTCTCCTATTAAGGAAGGTGGGGACGGGTAGCCTCATTTAGCCTTCCAGGCCTTGGGCTGATGGGCCCATATCTCATTAAGGAAGCCCTCCCTATATTTGGATGGTTTTAAGGTACTTGCCCAGCAGTTAATAAGCCAACACTTTGCTTCTCATTTGGCTATTGCTTGTCAGTTGGAGAAGAAGGCAAAAAAATCTTACCCCAAATATCAAATATGAGATATTGTCATATGTGTTTACAGATAAGAAAATGTGGAGAGGTTGATGTTGGAAAAACTCTTCTAGCTATTGGCCAAGGCAAAGAATTTATGAAGAAGACCCCAATGGCAATCACAGCAACAACAAAAATAAATAAATAAATGGGACTCGATTACATTAAAAACTTCTGCTCAGCCAAGGAAATAATCAACAGAGCAAACAGACAACCTACAGAATGGGAGTGGTGATGTCTGCTTTTAGACTGCGTCTATGAACACAGTAGCAGCTCGTGGTAACTGAGCCACATTCATTCACCCAGTTCATACTATTTAGATTCCCACTAAGTACTAGGCATAAAAAGATAAAGATGATAAAATAAGCCCCATTCCTGACTGAGCCTACACTAGCAAGGTTTGTGTAAACAGCAAAAGCATAAAAAGGTTGTAAAGGACATCTGGGGCCAGATCACTTCAGAGCCTTGAATGCTAAGTTGGCTAAGTAGAGTCACCGAGGGTTTTATGCAGGTGAAGTGTCAATAAACACAATAATATAAACATTCATAACTAGACAGGACTATACAGATCCTTATCGTTCTGTTTTAACAACTAATCTGTCAGTAAATATTTGGTGACTACACACAATGTACACCAAGATGCTGGTTGCCATGGCATACCTATTTCATATTAGAAATTTTAAGAGAAAGGAAGAACAAACTCTATCATTTACCATTATATTTATCACACGCATACTATGAAAAGGTAAGGGGTACAGTGTTTAGAGCACAGGCCCAGAGCACAGGCTCAGTTTCCCCACTTTCTGGCTGTGTGACCTTTGGGAAAGTGACCTTAACAAATCCGTGCCTCAGTTTTCTTATCTGTAAAAGGGGGATTAAAAATTTACCTCAAAGTGGTAGTAAATTAGTACATGTTAATTCTTAAAACATGCGAAATACTTAAGAACAGTGAAGGGCATAAAGTATACATTCAATAAATGTTATCTATATATTCTCCTCATATTGCAATTAATCATCAGAGGAACACAATAATGTGTGTACTGTGTTTCTCCATTTTGCAGCTAAGGAAACTGAGATTGAGTAAGAGAAAGTGGCTGGCCCCAAGTCACACACTAGTAAGTAGTAGGGCCAGGTGTGAGCCCAGGGAGAAGAATAAATACTAATATTTAGCACATGCTTATTACACAAAGGCAAGGAGAGTAGTGTTTAGAGCACAAGCTTGAAGCCAGACCCTTATCTCAGCTTCCCCGAAATATTTCTCAAAATAAATAAAGGAACAGAATGAATGGGGCACTTGGTTCCAGAATAAAAAGGGATGGAGGCTGCAATCAGGACCTTAGGCAAGGATGATCTATATCGTTGGCACACTTCCCAACATATCTGGTCTTTCTGACTTTCTATATACCACTGAAGTCACAGCCAAAGGGGCTAGACCAGAAGAAGGGATAACAATACATAGCAAACCTCCCTCTCCCCTTTTGTCCCAAGGCCAGCATGGATAACCAGACCCTGCCTGATAGAGCTGCAGGTTCAGATCCTTTGGGCAATTAGATTGCTATATAATTGATGGAGCTAATTGGAATCTAAGGAGACACAGCCAAGCCCACATTTTCTGGGTGATTGTACAGAAACAGAGCTTCTGGCTCAAGTGTAAAACACTACCTGGAAATTTCTATTTGCATTTATTATAGAAAGTAGTCACAATATCCTCAGGAGCATCTTTTGCTAGAAAAGAAATATATATATATATTATAACTTCCAAGACATATACTGCTGGACTAGATTTGACTGTGATTTATTTGCATATCTGCAATATGACAAGATGGTCTACTGTGCTGACTGCTTTAGGTTGCTGCGTGCTCATCTTTGTGCCACTGCTCAGGATCTTACCATTTATATTGATAAGCAAGCCTGAGAAACAGACTTAAAATTCCTAACAAAGCATTTTACTAAAAACAAATGGTAGTAACTACCAGAGTTAAGCAGGTACTTTATTTGTGAAATAATGTTCACATCCAATCCTCACAAAAATCTATTAGGAGATAAAAGCCATATTTGAAAGGCAAGGAAGCTGGAAACAACAAGGTTAAGTAACTTAGAGCAGAACATGATCTTGGCCAATCCGTCATTTCAACCAAGACTGGCCCAATTTAAGTGCCTATGTTGCTCCCATACATTACATTACAGTGTCTCCCAGGATTAAAACAGTTTTATACATAAATCAATAGTTCCCAATCCTGGCTGTATATTCATATCACCTGAAGAGTCAAAAAAAAAAAATGTTACGAGGGCCCTTCTTCCAATTAATCTAATTGGTCTGACATTAGTCCCCAGTGTGGGAATTTTTTAAAAGCTTCCCCACTCATTTAAAATGTGCAGTCTATTTTGAGACACACTTATATAATTAATAATGTCTTTAAAAACACTGTGCTTTTTATTCCAATTGTGAACTTTATGAAAATATAATTTAATACAATGATCCTAAGTGGCGGTGATTCTGATCTTTTGGTGGAAATGGCATATAAATCTAACCATCAGAGGTCCTGGGTACTTGTCAGTTTTTTAATTAGCTTTTTAGAACATCTGTCTGGTGACAAATTATTTAATCTTTGACCCCCAGTGCCAGAGAGAAAAAAAAAAAAATTCTA